ATGGCGTCCACCTTCACAAGCTGCTGCTTCAGTCTGGCTGCATCATGGTCTCCTACAGGAACACCACAGAAATACAATCAAAGTACTTCACTTTATTTATCAGAGGATGTACTGTATGCAAAGTAGAATTCATTTTTTAGCTATAATTCCTCAAAAAGATTTGAGACTGCTTTGTTATTTGAGAGGTTAAAATTTAAGTCTAAAACTAAAAAGTTATAACAGACAAATATGATAATTAAATATCCGAAAGAGCATTTTAAATAGAAATGAATCTAGTTGAACGTAAATAATGTTAAAAACAGGAAAGTTATTATATAACATATGAATCACATAATCATTGAGCAAAGCAAGAAGAGTATTTCTGAACAAATTCTGAATAAGCTGAACTAAAGTCACAACAAATCAACTGTAAACTATGGAATTGACTCCTGGTAGTGTGCTGAAGTCTTGAATATTATCTAAAGTAAATTAACACTAAAGTCAACCTGTTGAAGTCTTAAATATTAACTAAAGTAAATAACACTAAAGTCAACCTGCTGAAGTCTTAAATATTATCTAAAGTAAATTAACACTAAAGTCAACCTGCTGAAGTCTTAAATATTAACTAAAGTAAAATAACACTAAAGTCAACCTGCTGAAGTCTTTAATATTAACTAAAGTAAATTAACACTAAAGTCAACCTGCTGAAGTCTTAAATATTAACTAAAGTAAATTAACACTAAAGTCAACCTGCTGAAGTCTTAAATATTAACTAAAGTAAATAACACTAAAGTCAACCTGCTGAAGTCTTAAATATTAACTAAAGTAAATTAACACTAAAGTCAACCTGCTGAAGTCTTAAATATTAACTAAAGTAAATAACACTAAAGTCAACCTGCTGAAGTCTTAAATATTAACTAAAGTAAATTAACACTAAAGTCAACCTGCTGAAGTCTTAAATATTAACTAAAGTAAATTAACACTAAAGTCAACCTGCTGAAGTCTTAAATATTAACTAAAGTAAATTAACACTAAAGTCAACCTGCTGAAGTCTTAAATATTAACTAAAGTAAATTAACACTAAAGTCAACCTGCTGAAGTCTTAAATATTAACTAAAGTAAATTAACACTAAAGTCAACCTGCTGAAGTCTTAAATATTAACTAAAGTGAATTAACACTAAAGTCAACCTGCTGAAGTCTTAAATATTAACTAAAGTGAATTAACACTAAAGTCAACCTGCTGAAGTCTTAAATATTAACTAAAGTAAATTAACACTAAAGTCAACCTGCTGAAGTCTTAGTAGAATATGATCAGCCCATTTTGAGTCCTTGTACAAATCACGTTTGGTTCATATTACATTTCACTGTCGGCTGCTGATGTTAACATGTCCGTTCTGTTTCTTTTCTTTAAACAGTTAGAGACATTATTGAACCAGATAATAACTTTATTGTTATCTGAACACATGAAGAAATATTCTGCCTGTTCCAAATATTAATGTTACATTTCAGCAGCAGCATCACGGGGAGCGGAAGAAAGTCGAGCCTGTTATTTTTACAGTCTGTGCATACTGAGCAGACTGACCAACTGTTAATGTTATTAATAATGCAGACCATCAGGACATATTCTATTTTACTTTAACAGACCGTAAAGTAAAGTTATATAATGCAGACCATCAGGACAAATTCTATTTTACTTTAACAGACCGTAAAGTAAAGTTATATAATGCAGACCATCAGGACATATTCTATTTTACTTTAACAGACTGTAAAGTAAAGTTATATAATGCAGACCATCAGGACATATTCTATTTTACTTTAACAGACTGTAAAGTAAAGTTATATAATGCAGACCATCAGGACATATTCTATTTTACTTTAACAGACCATAAAGTAAAGTTATATAATGCAGACCATCAGGACATATTCTATTTTACTTTAACAGACTGTAAAGTAAAGTTATATAATGCAGACCATCAGGACATATTCTATTTTACTTTAACAGACCGTAAAGTAAAGTTATTGTCGGTGATGCGCAACTATTTGCTGAATTTGACTACAGATCTGATCGCTCATTAATATGAATCTTGAGCACAGTAAAGTTATAGTTTCATCAAGCACAGCCAGCATAGTTTATCAGGTTTCCCCCCCTGATTCTTTACTGAAATTAAAAAATATATATAATGTGACGGTACGACATGGAGCTTCAGTCAGTTGGCTAAGACGGCTGCAGTAGACTTAGTTAAAGGATGGGCGGATTATTAAACGTACAGACAAACCAGACAGACTAAGAATCACAGCAAACTGTTCTCTGGTGATGACGAACGCCACAAAGGAGGATTTTGGTCGATACTTCTGCATTCAGGAAAAACTGGGACAACGACAAGACGGAGAAGCTGTGGTTGATGTGGCTGTTGTTCCCAGTAAGTACATCATCATGTTTTTTACAATGACTGTTTGGAAGAGTTTTACACGAGTTGTCTTCCACCATTGAGTGTCTCTGCCTCCTTATTTTAAACAAAATTGAAGCCAAAATCCCCCCTAGGACAAGTGCTGACGTGTTGTGGATTTTGAGCTATAGTCTGTGCAGGAGGGATCAGCTGGTAAAGCGATTGTATTGACGTCCCGCCACTTCCTCTGACCAAAACAGTTCTCCCTCGCCCCCGGCCTCAGGGGTGTGTGAGAGAAATCTCGCCTTTTCTTTTGTTTAATAGGCTTTCTGGTCAAAAAAATGAAAATAATTATATATATATACATTTTATTACATTGTTACAATAATAATAATAATAAAAAATGAATGAATAAGTTACGTCAGCAATGATTATAATATTGCTCATTGTATTTAAAGAGACACACACACAGCAAAACGAAGCGTTCTGAGAGAGCTGGTTTATACAGGGTCACAAACCTCCTCTGGTGCTTGATTCATGTTATATTTTGAACAAAGCACAGCACAGATGTTTCATTTAGACCACAGGGGACTGTTTGAAAAGGTGGAGAAGGAGGATCATATGTCCTCTTTAACGGTCTCGGTTTTTGTAAATTCAGAAAAACCCTGGAAGTGTTCACAGAAATGTCTGAGTTTAATACAGACCTTTGACTCAAATGGATAACTATAACTATTCTTCCTCAGTTTGCTTGTCTCTAATATCTGAGTCTGTGTTCCTGAGTGTGTTTTCTACAGGTTTCTTTTTTTCACCTGCGGCTGCTAAATGAATTTCCTCTAAGTCACAACAAAAAAAAACAAAAAAAACATACCCTACCCTAAGTACGACCAAGAAAAACATCAGATCCTCACATTTAGAAGCATAGAGACGTTGTTTATTTGGTATTTTTGCTTCAGAAAATAAAAAATAATAATAGATTTGAAGTGGATAATCGTTAGAAGACTCATTTTGTGGCTCTGAAGTGAAATCTTATCTGGTTTTGTTTGCAAATATTGCTTTTGCTCTTGGATTCTAAGGCTTCTGGGTAATGTAGTTCTAACCTGTAACTAATAACCAGGCAAAGAACAGAAATCAGACTACATGTTCCAGTGATATCACATTTGAGTGTTGAAATATTTTCATTACCTTTCGATCTAACTTCATGGTGCTGATGTCACCTGTAGAGTTTCAGACTCTGGTGAACAAATGTAGTCTGAGTCTGGACTTCCTGCAGAGAACCGGAGGAAGGTGTGCACTCACCTGGGAGAATACTGAGTCGACATGAAGGTACTTATTACATTTCTAAAAACCTTCTCTGGAGAGACAAGAAACAGAAGAGTCTGGTCATTCAAGTTATTTTTCTTTGAACGTGTGTCTTCTTATGGAGGCTACTTTATATAAATGAAGTGAAGATGAGAACTTGCTCATGATTTAAACTTAAGATCAATCACTTCCTTTAGGACAAATGCATATTTTTTCCTGCAGCCTTTTTCAGGTGCAACTTGTATTTCCTTTTTTTCATTTCATGTAAAATCAGAAATCAGAACTTATCCCTCGGAGAACAATGAGAGCTGTTTTGTTTCACATTGTGGCCACACTGACACCTGCTGGTGAGCTCTTGTAAATGCAGCTCAGGGAAATCTGATTTAAGGTGCCATTTAATACAAAACGATCTTTAACTGCAGGTAAAAACTACAAATCAAAACATATTATAAACAACCTTCACATCCCCCCCTCCTGTATTTTATTGCTGTTCTGTGTTTTTATTTGATCTTAGCTTTTTTTATTGCTACTATCTTTTTTTAGTTATTTACATAATCTGAAATCCTTGTTCCTCTTGGTCTTTGTTTTACTGCTGAAGCTTAATGGATAAACTCTGATATTTTGTTAAACACTGCTGGATTAAATTAGGAGCATGTAAACACACAGGGTTACCTGTTTAACCCAGCTGAATGGGTCAAATATTCAACCCACACCGTGGTTAATTGTGACGATACTGCTGGTTGAGAAATGTTCTCTGTTGTAAACAAGTATCTCTCTCAAACCGCTCCTCTTCCTGGAATGAATCGTAGTTCGATCAGCCCTCCCTCTTCTTCCTGCTCTCAAACACAGCCTGCTGCACTCTGTCCTCATACTTCCTGGTTCCCTCCCCTTTAGATCTACAGTTTGAGGATGGGTGTAACCAACAAGAGCTGCACAGTCACATGCACATCCACATGCTTTGTAGATCAGAGGTGAAACTTGTTTTCAGTTATGAGGAAGTGAAACTCAGACAGTCGTTGTTACCGAGAGGAGAAATGGCGCAGAAAGGAGTTCAGCTGAGCCGGGAAACCTTCTCTTGTTCGATCTGTCTGGATCTCCTGAAGGATCCGGTGACTCTTTCCTGTGGACACAGTTACTGCATGAAGTGTATTAAAAGCCACTGGGATACAGAGGATGAGAAGACAGTCTACAGCTGCCCTCAGTGTAGACAGACCTTCACAGCGAGGCCTGACCTGAGGAAAAACACCATGTTGGCAGATTTAGTGGAGGAGCTGAAGAAGACTGGACTCCAAGCTGCTCCTGCTGATCACTGCTATGCTGGATCTGAAGATGTGGCCTGTGATGTCTGCACCGGGAGAAAACTGAAAGCCTGTAAGTCCTGTCTGCAGTGTCTGGCTTCTTACTGTGAGAAACACCTCCAGCCTCATTATGAAGCAGCTCCATTTAAGAAACACAAGCTGGTGGAGCCCTCCAAGAAGCTCCAGGAGAACGTCTGCTCTCGTCATGATGAGGCGATGAAGATCTGTCGCACTGATCAGCAGTCTATCTGTTATCTCTGCTCTGTGGACAAACACAAAGGTCATGACACAGTCTCAGCTGCAGCAGAAAGGAGCGAGAAGCAGAGAGAGCTGGAGGTGAGTCGACAAAACATCCAGCAGAGAATCCAGGACAGAGAGAAAGATGTGAAGCTGCTCCAACAGGAGGTGGAGGCTATCAATGACTCCGCTGATAAAACAGTGGGGAACAGTGAGAAGATGTTCACTGAGCTGATCCGTCTCATGGAGAAAAGACGCTCTGATGTGAAGCAGCAGGTCAGATCCCAACAGCAAACTGAAGTGAGTCGAGTTAGAGAGCTTCAGGAGAAGCTGGAGCAGGAGATCACTGAGCTGAAGAGGAGAGACGCTGAGATGAAGAAGCTGTCACACACACAGGACCACAACCAGTTTCTACACGACTACCCCTCACTGTCACCACTCAGTGAATCTACACACTCATCCAGCATCAAGATCCGTCCTCTGAGGTACTTTGAGGACGTGACAGAGGCTGTGTCAGAAGTCAGAGATAAACTACAGGACGTCCTGAGAGAGAAATGGACAAACATCTCACAGACAGTGACTGAAGTGAATGTTTTACTGTCAGAACCAGAGCCCAAGACCAGAGCTGAGTTCTTAAAATATTCATGTGACATCACACTGGATCCAAACACAGTAAACACAGAGCTGTTATTATCTGATGGGAACAGAAAAGTAACATTAACGAGTCAGACCAATCCTTATTCTAGTCACCCAGACAGATTCACTGAATGTGTTTCAGGTCCTGAGTAAAGAGAGTCTGACTGGACGTTGTTACTGGGAAGTGAAGAAGAGAGGAAGAGGAGTTTCTGTAGCAGTCACATACAAGAATATCAGCAGAGCAGAGAGTTCGAATGAGTGTAGATTTGGACGTAATGACAAATCTTGGGCGTTATATTGTAACAACAACAGATATAACTTTTATTACAACAATGTCAAGACTCGTGTCTCAGGTCCTTGGTCCTCCAGAGTAGGAGTGTACCTGGATCACAGAGCAGGTATTCTGTCCTTCTACAGCATCTCTGAAACCATGACTCTCCTCCACAGAGTCCAGACCACATTCACTCAGCCTCTACATGCTGGACTCGGGTTAGATTTATGTTGTTTTGGAGACTCTGCTGAGTTGTGTAAACTGAAATAGACAGAAGTCAGTAACGAGACAGATGTTTAACTTGCTGTGTTTTAAATCTTCAACTTGATTTTTATCCACGCTCGTTGATGAGATCTGATCGTGGTCACCTGTCAATCAAACTTCATGGACGGTACTTTGAACTCTTCTCGTCTGTTCTGTAAATGTTTGAATGTCTTTAAGTGACACTCCTTCCTGTGTCTGTTTAGCCGTGGACTCTTTCACTGCTCAGGATGACTTTTGTTCACCTGAACTGACATTTCTCTGAGTGATAAATATCAACTTCTCTCTGCTCTCCATGTTTGATTATTTGTTTTCATACATTTATATTTTCTGTTGTTTCTGTTCTGATTCAGGAGTCTGAAGAGAGAGAGAGAGAGAGAGAGCAGAAAACTTTTCTTTCATGCTGATTTTCTCTTCTCACCACTTTGTACATTTGTAGAAAATCTATAAAATCACACTTAAAGAAATGAGTTAGTCAGAATAAATGTTGTTGTTCATATTCAAAGTGATGTAAAAATGTCCTCTGAGGTGTTTTAAAAATGTAATCCTCCTGATTAAATCAATAAGGAGATAAATCATTGTTTTCTGTGAGTGGAGATTCTGATCAAACAAAGTGATTGTGTGGATGAAGTGAATGTGTTCATGAAATGATTGAACACACTTTACTGATTTGATGTGTGAACAAACTGAAGTTTGACATCCTGAATAAACTCACATGAACTAAATGTTTTCTTCTGGTCTTCATTGCAAACGTTCAAGTGAACAAAAAATAAATAAAAAACCTGCTACTGTTTGTACCCGCTGAGCTTCTGTATTCAGGAAGTTCAGCAGGAAATAGATGAAGTCAAATAGAGGGGGAGGAGCTACAGAAGAGAGGAGTAATGACCAGGTTAAGTACTCTGCATATCACTGGAAAACATTCATCTGCTCTTTGTGAGGTATGCAATCAAGCAGAAGCAGGTGAACATGTACTTACTAAATGTAGGAAGTATGTAACACATAGACAGAACAGGAAGTCAGAAATGGAGAGAGAGAGGGACTTGTAAGAAGAGAAAAGTATTTTGGAGGGTGGTGAAAGAGGGAGAGGCCGAAGATGCTTGTTTAAATCTCTTTTGAGAACAGGTCTGTTGAGGGATATTTAAATCCAGCAGATGGCAGTAATGACACTTTTCTGATGTCAGCTGCCAAAGAAGAAGAAGAAGAAGAAGAAGAAGTATTCAATTACAAAATCAGCTTTAAATCTAATTAATATAGATGTAAAGGTACCATTTGTAAAACTGAATACAGAAGTAGAATCAAAGAAGGTCTTGAGTGGGAGTGGAAAGAAACTTTAGGAGAAGGAAAAAAAGAGGCAGACATTATTTTAATCCACAACCTTTATTAGGAAGTCTGTCAGTTATTCTGGAAAGTTAAAATAACTCGACTGAGGCTGGGTCACTGTGGGTTAAACCAATATTTACACTCTATAGGAAAACATCCCAGTGGGTTGTGTGAGTGTGGCGCTCCTGAAACAGTTATACACATATTACTACAATGTAAAAACTAAACCTTACAGCCCTCCCCTCCCTGGTATCTCCATGGACTCCACCTCCAGCCTAGAACAAAGTTTGAGCAGGTCCTCCATTTTTATTCTCTCTACAGAGGAGTGATGTCTACGGGGGGGGGGGGGGTCATTACATTTAAAGAGACACACACACCAAAACGGAGCGTTCTGAGAGAGCTGGTTTATACAGGGTCACAAACCTCCTCTGGTGCTTGATTCATGTTATATTTTGACCAAAGCACAGCACAGATGTTTCATTTAGACCACAGGGGACTGTTTGAAAAGGTGGAGGAGGGGACTGTTTGAAAAGGTGGAGGAGGGGGATCATATGTCCTCTTTAATGTGAGGCTCTAGAGAGCAGCATATCAATCTGGACCACTGTAATCCTGAAATACACCTGGAGCTCCTTTTCAACAGGTCAAAACTCTCCTTTTTATACATTTAGTGAAAGAGTCAATAAATGAACTTATCAGGTTGATCCCTCTGCATGATGAGCATGAGACATTCTGTCTGATATGCAAATTAATGGAAAATAAACACAGCGATCAGTGTGCAAGGTGTCTGTGCGTAAAGTTTTTTAATGGAGCTGAAAAAAATGGCCTCTGTACAAAGGCCTTTACACCCACTTTTTTTTTTATCATACTTGTACATAATGAGACAGTTACATTTTTTAAATCTACAAGCAGTGTCTAACTTCCCCAACAGAGAAAAGAAAAGTGGAATAACACAACAAAGCTAAAATTCTCCCTTCTTTCTGATTCATCATTAATGTGTGTTGTGTTCACTGCGTAGGAGGATCCTGAAGAAGGTGTCGCTTACGCCTCCGTCAGCTACACCAAGAATTGTAACAGCAAAGTCAAGGTAAGCGCTCTGATTGGACACACAACTGTTCATTTATATTGAGCTGTCGAGACATTTTAAGCTTGGGGGTGAAAGGTCACAGGGGAGGGATAATAACTTGTTCCCAACATATATTCATCCTGTTCCCACAACATAATGATATTGTGCACACAAGGTTTTCAATTTTCACAAGATTAATAACTAGTTCCCAAAATATGAATAGCTTGTCTGACAAAAAAACAACTTATGGGGAGATGGTGGTCTAGCGGTTAGGTCGTGCCCCATGTATGGAGGCTTTAGTCCAGGTTCAAGTCTGACCTGCGGCTCCTTTCCGGCATGTCTTCTCCACTCTCTCTCCACAAGTTCCTACTCTATCCACTGTCCGATCAGATGACGGCTAAAAGCTGAAAAAATAAATCTTAATAAAAAAGAAACCTGTGACTGAAAGATGAATATCATGTGTGCCAAAGATAAAACCTTGTATCTACAAAATGATTGATTTATGCCCACAAGATAGTCGTTCCCAAAAGACTAGTATCTTAACTTGTTCCCTCAGGATGTGTTAATGTGTGTACAAGATAAATAACTGTTGGCTCATTTGGATCCATTACTGATGATTTATAAAGAAACTCTATATTTAGGGTGCATGCATGTTTTAAACCACGTTATGAGTTTGTTATTGTAAAGTGCTTTTTGTGTTTTGTTTGGCCTCAGGATCCTGCTTTGTTTGTTGCTTGCATCTTAATTTCAATGTGTTGAAATATGCTGAGTCATGTCCTGTTCTGATATGTTTCCTGCTGATTCTCGTATCCATAAGGCTGATGATGACGATGAAGGTGAAGCTGTGACGTACAGCACTGTGAGAGTTTCCTCCCCTGGTGCTGAAGCCTCCGTTGATCCCAGCGGCCTCTATGCCACCATCAACAAACCAAACAATGGAGAGACAAACGGATAGTTATCATGTCATTAATCTGATATCATATGTATATCTTAAGAGAAGAGTTTCATACTCTCACTTGGTACTTATTGCTTATTCTATTATTTCCATGTTATTTTATATTTTATGTATATATTTGTTAGAATGTATTTAAATTCCAGCAAGACTGAGATCATTTTGATTGGACCACAGCACCTGACTAAGCAAGTACTGCCATCTGCTGGTACCCTAGTAGACCACATCAAACCTGCTGCTAAACATCTGGGTGTCTGGTTTGACAGCAACTTAAATTTTGAGCAGCTCACAACAAAGCTTGTACAGTCTTGTTTTTATCAGCTCAGAAATATTTCTAAAATGTTTTAGATTTTAACTGTTAAAGACATAGAGACGATTTTACATGCTTTTATCTCATCACGTCTTGACTTTTGTAAAAGCCTTTTTACTTACCTGAAGAAAAAAATCTATCGATGGACTGCAGTTGGTACAGAACTCAGCTGCCAGACTTTAAACTAGAACCAGAAAGCATGAGCACATCACTCCTGTTTTAGCATCTCTACACTGGCTCCCTGTGTGTTTTAGAATTGATTTTAAGATTTTACTGATTAGTTTTAAAGCTCTCCATTCCCCCAGCTGTTTATCAGACCTTTTACTACTTTACAAACCCACGTGCACATTGAGATCCTCGGGCTGAGGTCTCCTGGTGGTTCCAAATGCAAAATTAAAAACAAAAGGGGATAGAGTATCGACCTGCCCGAGGAGATCAGGTCGGCAGAATCACTCATCTCTTTTAAGTCCTTTCTTCTTAAGACACACTTTTTCCGGCGAGCCTTTCCTGATGTTTGTTGATTTGAAATTGTTACTATTTTCACTTTTTAGAATTCCTTTAAAAGAATTGTATTCAGTTCTTTTAAAAAAGGATTTTATATTTTCAAGTGATTTTTATTCCTTAATCTTTCCTTGTTTGATATTCTATGACCTGCCTGTTTTTATATTTGCTGTCCTTGTAAAGCACTTTGTTTTTGAAAAGTGCTCTATAAATAAAGATTATTGTTATTATTATTATTATTATTATTATTTGCATGTATTCATTCACCTTGGAGACTTTGTGGATATGTTAGTAGTGTTGCAGTGATCGAAATCGGTCTTAGTCTCAAGACCCGTCTCGTATCAGACCACTTTTTGAAGGTCTCGCTATCGTCTCTGAATCTAAAGCATTTTTACCCGCTCTTGTCTCGGCCTCAGACCGGGTGGACTCCAGATTTTAAACCAAGACTACCAATGATCTGCAAGAGAAACTGTAACAAGATAATCTCCTCCTGGGATTAATCAAATACTTCTGATTTTGTGTGACTGATATGTTTGAAAGATTTAGAACTTCATTGTTCTTCTGTGTATTACTTTTATACAGAGACATTCAATCTTTATGTTTAAGGTCTTGTTAGATTTTTTTCTTTATCTTATTAAAAGGTTTCTGTTTTCATTTCTATTCATCAACTAAAATCTCCTCACAGGAGGACAAGAAGCTCTGATCTCCTGTGTTGAAGAGGAGTCAAAGGCGCAGTACAAATTGTAACAAGAGTCAGAGATAATAATAATAATAATGCTGATAATACTACATTATATTTTTGTAGCGCTTTTTAAAACACTCAAAGACACTTTACAGATTTACATTCAGACAAAAACAAGCTGAGGAAACACAAAAAATGAAAACAATGTCCCAGGTTGTTTGAAGGTCAGGAGGACTTTGAACTCGATTTGTTGTGGAAACGGGAGCCAGTGGAGGTTGTGGTGGCCAGAGGTAATGTGGTCACAGGAGCGGGAGTGTGTGAGCAAACTGACAAGTTGTGAAGTGTATTGAGGACTTTGGATGATAACCATAGAGAAGGCTATTACATTAATCAATCCTGAGGCTCAGCGTTCATTGAGCCAGGAGTCTTGTCCGGCACCAGAGGCCGGGCTCTCCAGTAGACGGAGCTCCTCCAACCTTCAGCGAGGTGTTCTGGCACTACCACCACCGACGTCCCTGACGCCCAGTGTTACGCCGCTACACAAACCCACCGCTAAATGCTATCCTAGCACCTGACGCTAAGGCCAGTGAGCCGTAACTTAATGGCTCTCCTTACGTGTTGCTTAAACGTGAAGGTGTATCCTGCCTTACTGAGTGTGTGTGCATCTGTCCTGTCTGTTTGAGGGGTGCGTGTAGGTGACTCACTCTAAGATCCTTGTACGTGCCGCGACCAGCTCTCGGACAGCCGATCACGGAGTCACTTGGGGTACGATCTCCTCCACCAGCCCTCTCCTTCATATCAGTTTAGTTCATGTGTAAAAAGAACCCGTGAAGTGTTGAAACAAAAACAAACGTTACTTCAGGTT